GTGGCAAGGCATTGTGGCTAGGCATGAGCAGCAGCGCCGGTTGATGGCTGGGTGCCTAAGGCATCGCTCGCGCCAGTTGATGGCTGGGTGCTGAAGGCATCGCACAAGTTATATGATGAACATTGTATGGGTGCCGAAGGGCACTGAGGAAGGGGAGAATGACATAAACCTTTTGTATCAATTCCCACAGACGGCGCCAAACTGTTCTCCTTGCCATTGGGAGCTCCATGTTTGGTGAACAATATTTTTAAAGTGGTGTTACGACAAAAAACAGTGTCAAAACCATTTGGTAAATTTTAATATAAAATTGTTGTAACTGTGAATAATGACTCAACTAGACGTGATGTTGAAAGTGTTATGAGCTAATCATGTAGTGGTAATGGTGGTGGTGAAAGAGATGGAGGTGAAGGTGATGGTGAAAGAGGTGGTGTTGGTTGTGGTAGTTGTGGTGGTGGGGATGGCGGTTGAGGAGGTGGAGGGGGAGGTGGTGGTGGTCGAGGTTGAGAAGGAGGTGGAGGTTGCGGTGGCGGTGTTGGGGTGGTGGAGGTTGAGGAGGAGTTGGTTGTGGCGATGGTGGCGTGGTGATGGTGGTGTTGGTTGTGAAGGTGGTGGTGGTGGCGGTGGCAACGTGGTGGTGGTGGCGGTAGCGGTGGAGGTGATGAAGGTGGTGGTGGAGGTGGAGGTGGTGTCATTTTTAAAAATTAATGATGGTATTTTGGGAATTAAAAAAAATTCATTTAAGACTCATATTTGCTTCTTTTGAAAGCAGCTTTGAAAAACAATCTAAATTCTGCTTTTAAAAGCTGCTGTAAAAAAGCCACTACTTTTAAAATAATCGAGATATTTTATTTTTACCAAACACCTCAAACTGCTTAACTTTAAAGTGAAGCAGGCTTTTGGCGAAGAAAAAAAAAAACAATCCCAAACCGGGCCTAAGCCTAATTCATACCCCAATATCAATCTAGAGACTACAGCTAACCACCAGTGCAGCGAATGCATAACAAATTGCTACCACATTATTAAATATTTACAATTTTTTTAACTTATTAGCAGATGATAAAGATCGAAGGTAAGCCATGAGTAGGATGAACCAGCACAGCAATTCAAAAGATGATTCTTCCTGCTGCCCATGATGGCATATAAATGATGTCTATGGTGGCATACATTGAAAATCTCTTTTCCATTTAAGCATCTTAAAGCCATATTCTACAATTTCACACCAAGTTGACTATAAATACTCAATACGAACACACGCATAGATAAGAGTCATGTCAAACAAATTTCAGATGCAATCCAGGATACATTGCTTTTTAAAAAGCACACATTCAAAACCCATCACTCCTTACAGATGAAACATCTTGCGTCAGTCTTTATATACTTCGCGGACAGTAATCATACATTACAACAAGTTCGACCACTTACCTGATTTTCTAACTACAACAGTATCGATGTCCAAGATTCCTTTCCCGTCATTGTTAGACTTCCGCATATGCAATCCAATACTTAACCAACTTTGAACTTAGCTGCATATTTCCTCATCCCTTATACATCAGTAAAGAGCACAAGTTGAAAATGTAGATAGACAATACCAACTCCATACTATCAAAACAGAATAGTTAGGAGTCATCTGCCCAATATTCATAAAGTTACCATCCCATCAAAATGGAACAGTTAGGAGTTATCTTCCATCTGCTTTAGTTTTTCTTCTTCCTTGCATCGGCTTTCCAATCTCTTCGACACAGTTTGGGTCTATGCATTTCAAAGTTATTCTGGTTCACAGATATCTCGGAATGGGTTTCACTATCTAATAGTGGCTCTGCCGTAGTTCCAGATAATAACACAGTTTGACTCTCACTGGTTGACATAGGAGTAAGGACACCACAACCATTAGGTGTAACTTCAGGATACTCAGAAACACGAGCCCTCCTTGCATCCTTTTTCCAATCTCGTTTACAGTGCACACGGGGTACATAATTGCTAACAAATCCATTCATTTGCACTTCCACTTGTGGTGGAGTTGATTGCTTTATGATGCTAGGCTTCTTCATATCTGCTTCAAGGCGCTTCCGGGCCCTATACCTACGTTGTCGTTCTCGGTTCTTCAGGCGACGAGTCAGAACATCATTACGACTTCGGGTGCGCTCTCTTTGATCAATAGGCTTCATTATAAAACTATCTTGTGTTTGAGCAGCATTCATATCTTTGGCTGCCTGACATTCAGACCAAGTCTAGCATAAGCATGAATAAAGGAGGAATGCAAACAATAACACCACAAACAATGGTTCTCTATTTGACAGTAAACTTCTTACCACTAAAAATTCGCTCACAACTAAGAGATGATAGCTTGCTTCAATTACGCAGCCACTTGAATGGTGAACAAAGGGAAAATGACTTGCTACATCTATAAACGCAGCAATGCATCACTCTAAGCGGTCTAACAAAAACAAAAATTAGCAAAAAAGACATTACTTGCACAACATCCTTCACAAGCCCATAAAGAAAACATGATCAGGTATTCATTTGGTCGGAAGTACCAGCTAAGTAAATTTCCTCACACAGCATATTTAATGAGACATAAATGTGCAGTTTGTATGATTGAGGATTACACGCGTTAAGTATACATCACGGGCTAACAATCAAATACTGAAATTTTGCTTTAGAATGGGAAAGACTGATACTCGATTAGTTTTAATCCAGTAATATCTGCTGTAGGACCTTTGTACATTTACATGGCTATGAAGTTATAAAGTAGAAATTTTACATTCTACCATCTCAATATGTGACTCTCCTCAGGTACTTATCCTATTGGATGGAGCACGATCTACAAAATTGTTTGTCCAAAAAAAAAATGGACTCTTATACCCAAGCCAACCATAAATGCAAAACAAGCCTAAATGTTTGTCCACACACACAGATCTTTCTCAAAAGGGATCCCGCACGTTTCTGACCTTTCTGCACGTGGCTGTCATCCGTTTGATCTCATTAATCTGTCGATCTCATTTATATAAAATGTCACATAAAGATCTTAGTAATTTGTGGTCTGGTTAAAACTTCAATGAATCTTTCAATACTTTTGGTAGATTATATATCATGAGCACCTACCCCTGATTTGGAAATAAAACATCAATTCTTAAAGGTAAATCCATGACCTTTGAAAATTTATTAATCAGCCACAACCAGAGAGTATTTATCAATCAGCCAAGCAGGGAATATGATTAGAATCTAAAAGTTGCCCCTCAAAAGGGGGAAAAAATAAGGATGTAAATCTTGGTTCTTTACCATCCAACGAGGATTGAATTACCTTTAAATCCAATGTTGGCAGCTCCATTCCATTCTTAGCTTCTTAAGCCTTTTATCCAATGTTGGCAGATATGAACGTCAAACGACTACAAAGTGTCCACAACAGTCTCTCTTGCACACGTTTCAGGCCAAAAGCAGTATTTCATGTATGTTCTGTATAATTTTTTAGTCCCGAACTCCTGAAGCAATGAAACTTCAGTTAAGAAATTTGATTCCATAACTGATATAACTGGAACACAAAACACTAGTACAACAATAAATAAAAAATTATCACGAACATATTGCTATTGGTTGCAACCTGCCACAAATAGATGAAATTTTTTAAATAAACAATGACATTATAACTATTATAGAAAGAAATTTCAACCCACCAAGCTACCAATTAACTAAAGAATGGATTGGAGCATATATATATATATATATATATACCAGGAAGCTTTAAGAAGGCTGGCCACTAATAGCCATGGCCACAGACTATTATGCAATTAAATATATTTTATATGCAAGTATGCCGTCGCACACCACATATAGGCAACTATTATTATGCAATTACAAAATTTGCAGTTAATCATGTCCAATTAATATAAGCGGCAGGTTAGAAGAATATCAGAATGCAGGTTTCAAGAGGCCAAATCAATGCATGTCTTCATTTTCTTAGAAGAAAAACCATAGTTGCCTAATTCGCTCACCCCCGAGAGAATTTCGATCTGGATCGAGCGTACCCAATCGTGGTACGGTATCGATCTGGAACGAAAAGATTTAACGACTCAGTTCCAGAGGAGAGAACAACACCTGATAGAAGACGTCGCTGCTACAGAACAGTGCCTGACCACCGACAGCAGACGAGCAATCGAGGGCACATGAGGGAGAGTGCTATAGCTGATGAGCCCACGTTTGATTCTTGGTCCCTTGGAAGATATTGGATTCGGAAAGGATTTTTTTGGACGAATAGATTCCAAGAGGTGGGATGGGTGATAATTGGATGGATAGGCGTAAGAGCAGTTCCAGCGGACAGCCCAGCCCAGGCGAAAAGCCCCGGTCTCCCAAAATCAGCTCCAGCGGTGACTTCCAGCCCGACAAGGCCCAAGGCAAGATAGGCACTGACATCAGCAAAGAAAAAATGTTTTAAAAAATTGCAAAACAATTACCAAAAAATTCAACAAAAAAAAAAATTATACAGAAAATTTTTATTTATTAATCTCATGTGAATAGTAATTGCCCTTGGATTACCATGGTAATAGCTAGAAAAATACAAAAAAAAAATTACTAGAAAATATACTATTCAAGTGAACAATAACCACCTTTACTTGTCCTTACTCTTTGTCATGGCAAATGAGTGGAAGTGTTCTAAGGGGTAAAGTACTAGAGATTAGGTGGGTGGGTGTGTCAATATAATAAAAGTACTCATTCTGGTTTCAAGAATTCAATTTCGTTCTCCTGGACTCTATGGTCCAAGCAAGTTATGGTTATCTACCCTTGGATCTAATGTAAGGGTTGGGAAAAAATTGGTTTAAATATCAATATGTCATCTTTTATTTTACTTTTACTGCAATAAAATACTATTTTGGTTATTGATGAGTCAATTTTATATTATATATTTAACCACATTTTTAGTATATTTTGGTTAATATTTTGGAAGAATCTTGATACTTTGAATTATATTTCCAATATAGGTCTTTCAACTTCTTCTGGAGCAAAACATAATCAAATGGACGAATTTTGGAGTAATTCCAGTTAGAGGACGTACGTGAGTCACTTAGCTTGATCGTATCAAAATATTAGACTTTTCCACAAAGCGATGATTTCCTGGCGAATAAATGAAGGAGCGATGTGCAGTGCTGGAATAATGAAGTTTTGGGCTTGTATTGCGTTTTTGGAGCCCAAGATGACCTCAGATGGGTTTGTGGCCTTCTGGAGAAGTGTTTGGAATATTTTTATCTTTAAAACGAGCTATCTTAGGCCAGATTTGGAGGAGATTTGAGACCAAAATGTGGCTGGGCAGATTGTGGGCAGATTCTCCTAATCCAATTTGGACTTTATTTCCTAGTCTTACTTTATTTTAACTTAGTTTCCTTGTGGGGATTGGGTAGCTAGGTTTTAGGAGGTATTTAAGTTCCTTTTCACAGCAATTTAAAGAACCTCCTTTTTGGCTTTGGGAGCAATTGCTAGGGTTTTGGATTTTCGCTACTTTCAGGTGTTTTCATTCTTATTCATTCGAATGATATTTTATTGGATTTCAATTATGATTATGTGTAACAAATTCCTTTTGCTAGGGCGAGGCCGTAAACCTTAGCATAAATATGTAGTTTTATTAATTTGCTTATGAATGGATGCATGTTTGCTTTGAATTATTAATCACTGTGTTTAAAACTATCTATCTATTTTAATGACTGATCACCATTAGGATATGTAGACAAGTAATTTGATGCAATTTCTGTTGGAACATCACCCTGAAATTGAGGAGGGCTTCTTGTGATTAGTAATTGTAAGTTCACTTAAGGCGAACATCACGCTCTTAAGGGTTGCATGGTTTTTCAAAGGGTTTTCACAAAGCATAATGAGTCTTGCATGTTTATATTTGATCTGAACATCACAGACGGATTGCATGTTAGATATACGTTTTCGCTTGAACATCACAAGGAAAATATGCATTAGGAAAACCTAACCTTCAAAGCATATATGTGGAAATTCATAAGTAATTGATAGAATTGCATAGGATTGCGACGGTGTTGGCTAAACCCTAGTTTTCTCTAAATTGTTAGTCTTTAAAAAGAAATCATTTTTCTTCTTTGCTGTTATTATTTCCCAACTTTCAGATTTCTTTTACTGTTAGTTTAATCTTTTCAAATTCATAAACTTCAAATCTTTGATAAAATCTATTTTAATTATTATAAACCATGTTTGATGTTCCAAGGGAATAGGTTGACTAGGTAAAGTATACACTCTCCCTAATGGGTTTGAACTCGGTTGCGAGTGGGCACACTACCTTGACCAACTAGACTAACTCACATACACATTCTCCTTTTGTTTTTATGTAGTAGTAAAGATAAAAATAAATAATATAATAATAGTTAGTACAATTACATTGCTTCATGTAACAAATGAGTAAATAATCTATTAGAGTGATCAATTTTTTCATGTGATAAATGAGTACGCAACGTGCCATATAAGTTGGTATAGCACATGGTTGCCTACTTCATTCACATCTCCCTTAGACGATATTGGCATATTGCTGTAAATTGTTTTTGACAAAATGAAAACTTGGTATAAATCCGCTGCTTATGATTACGACACCCACATAGATTTTTGTAGTTAGGGGAGGGGAAGGTCAGTCAAGACCTACAGAATGGAGACGTAGCAGTATCAAATCAGCGTCAATTCCGTTTAATTTTGACTTAGCTCTCTCTCTTCTGAAATAGGAAAATAAAGACTTTCACTTGTACTAGAAGATGTAAAATGAATACGCTAATCAACGCTAGCCCGTCGTCACGCTTTTGGCTTTTGGCTTTTGGCTTTTTGGCCCCCAATGCGTCCTCACCCAAACACGTCCTTTCTTTCTTTTATTTTCTTTGTTTTCCATCTAAATTCCTCTCATTCATTCATTCATTCCTTTCCTTCCATATTTGACCCACTTGCTCAACTCATTCTGCAAATTGCTAATTTACTAAATTGCTAGGGCTTCTTCCCGCACCAACTTTCTCCGTGTTTATCTTGTTTCTTTGCTGCTGATAGAAAGCTCAAGAGGAAAAAAGATCCAGGTTGACTCTTCTTTGCCGTATCACTTCCTCAAGTCAAGGCGTAATTTTCTATTCCCTCTATTCTTACTTTTCTATGTTTCTTTGCGTTTACTCTTTGTCTTGTGAACCATTTGAAGAATTTTCTTGGTGGGTTTTCTTCTTTACCCAAAAGAAAAAAAAACTAAAATTTGTAGGTGGGTTTTGGAGTTTCTGAAATTGGGTTTTTTTTGTGGAATGCTTGTGGTTCAATTATAGTAAGATATTTGTTCTGTTTGCTTGAATTGTTTTTTTGGGATTTTTTTTTTGGGGGGGTTAAAGCTACAGGGAGATTTAAGATTTGTGGTTTTGGTATTACAGGAATCTGTCTGAGCTTGGAACTTTTGCTGGTTTCTCGATTTGCGGCTTTTGTGTTGGACTGTGAGGGCAGCTTTTGTGCTTCTCGATTTGTTTGAATTGGTTGCATTTTCTAAGATTGTTGCGTTCAATACTTATCACTGAACAAAACTGGGGTTGTTTTGAGCTTGGTTTGTGAGTTTTTGGGTATCCTTTGAAGCTTTGGAATGGTTTGACTTTGTGGGTATTTAGCAGAAGTACGTATAATTCGTTTGGTGAAGTTGTATTTGAGATTCAAGGAGTTGGAAAGTTGTGTTTGAGCTTTCTTTTGAAGTTCTGGGCAATTGTTTTGAAGCTTATGCGAATGGCTTGACTTTGTGGGACATTGGCGAAAGTTAATTGGTTGGTGGTGTGAGTTTGTTTGTGTTTTCCTCAAAATGGATAACTCCGCAAACAGGCATAATGATCATTTGGGTGTGAACAAAATTGGGAAAAATATAAGGAAGAGTCCATTGCACCAACCCAATTTTGCTAATAATGCCGCTAGGCAACAGCCTCAGCCTCAGGTATACAACATAAGCAAGAATGATTTCCGCAACATTGTTCAGCAGCTTACTGGTTCGCCATCACAAGAACCCTTGCCTAGACCTCCTCAGAATCCGCCAAAACCCCAAAGTATGCGGTTGCAGAGAATTCGGCCTCCTCCATTAACACCTATCAATAATAGACCAGTAATCCCACCTCCAGCTCCTCATCCTTCAGCCCCACCACCGGTTCCATACAATAATAACTTCATGAGGCCTCAGTTTGGACAACCATCACCTACACCGATGCCGCCATTTCCACATGGAGACTCAATGTGGGCAAATACAGCTGAGTCTCCTATCTCAGCATATATGAGGTACCTTCAAAGTTCGATGCTGGATCCAACTCCAAGGGGAAACCAAGCACAGCCACAACCACAAGGTCCAGGTCAAAGTCAGTCTCAGGCACCATCAACTGGTTTACTTCCTAACCCATCCATGCCTGCTCACCCGCCCCCAAGAATGAATGGTCCTGTACCACCTGCGCCTAATCTACCACACCCACCAGTGAATGCTCCTGCCCTCTTACCCTCACCAACTTCACAGTTCTTATTGCCATCCCCAACAGGTTACATGAACCTGTTGTCCCCAAGGTCACCTTATCCATTGCTTTCACCCGGGATGCAGTTTCCTCCACCACTGACCCCCAATTTTCAGTTTTCACCCATGGCCCAATCAGGGATATTAGGTCCAGGGCCTCAACCTCCACCCTCTCCGGGTTATTTATTTCCTTTATCTCCTTCGGGGTTTTTCCCCATTTCAAGTCCAAGATGGAGGGATCAATAGTTGTCACACCATTGTTATGTATGTCAGTTCCATGCTTTCTCCTGAGGTCTGTCTTTATGCGGACTCTCATCTACTTCTTCATTTGTGAAAACAGTGTTGTATACTGGTAGTGTAAGTAGCCCTTTGGGCTATCTCTAGTGTTCATCTCTCATTTTTTCTCTTTCTTTCGTTGATACCCACTCTACATCTTTTTTGATTCTTGACTCCTGTATCAGCTGCTATCGTTTTTGTTTATTTTTGTCTTCAACAAGTTCAATTTAGGAAATGTAGTGAAGATCAACAATGCAATGGGAAGATTGGACAGGAGCTGTAATTTGAAAGACTGGAAAGATGGAGCTATAACATGAAAGGAGGTAGGACACTTGAAACTTAATATGTAGGGTCTATAGTGGAAGAGTTCTTGTAATTTTGTGATATTTGAATTAAACTGTAGTTTGATGATGTTAATTCTTCTTACGTTAGCTGGCATGCGAAATGAATTTTCGTATTAGTGATTATAGTTTTGTTGTACCTAGATTTGTTCAATGAAGAATTTCTTGTTTGACCAACTCATAATTTGAATAATGCTACTAGTTCATTGTTTTTCTGCTTTAAATTTAAACGTTGTAATGATGTATTGGGATGAAGTAATTCTAGTTT